TTCGCAATACGTAACGTATATGAAAATATACAAAATATTTTGTCTTTTTGATAATTTTCTATTTTCAGTGTTCGACGATACATTGGCTATGATGCTCCAAGTGCACCAGGGTGCATCTATTCCTACGATGCGGCTTTGCCATATCGCCGCGGGAAATACGTTGGGGCAAAAGTCACGGAAACGTCGGTTCGTAACGATCCTTGATCCTCGGTCAATTGATCCCACGGCATTTCCTGCGACTGTACATAAAGTCCTATGGTCTTTGCGACGAGTCACGGTGTTTCCGTGAGAACGGAAAAATAAGAACAGGGCCGAACAAAAAAATACCATAGTGTATCACACGAATAACGCGCGTTTCGATACACAACTTTTTGGAAAAAAAAAAAAAAGTCAATTCTCATAAAGCGACAAAAACACGAGTCGCTTCCGTACTTTTAACCGGAACGCGCAATTGTACCGGCCACGACGACTGGCGCAATGAATTTCACGTAACTACGGCAATTCCGTTTGCCCACTCGTGCAAAATTCGCCAGCGGTATTCGGTCTAACGTTGCGAAATACAAGCGACGTATTAACGTAGGTATACATACGTACGAACAGACCGACTCGCTAACTGACTTTCTGTCTTTATGGGAATGTATCGTGTGGGATATATATATATATATATATATATATATATAGCGCGACGTACGGTATTCAGAAGGCTAAAATATATATAATAATAAACATACGTGAGAATCAACACAGTTGCAAACACGTTGTTTTATGCTGCGCCATTAAAACTCAGAGACTGATGATCTTTCGCCACAGCGCTCTAGATATATGACATAATAAGGCACATAGTCACATATATACACAAACACGTGTGATTGCCTTAGCTTATGGAATTTGCCAATTTAAAATTAGCGAAAGTCAAATTTTTCCTTGAGCCCCGCCGGCCAAAAATAATTCCGTACCAATCTGCCATTTGCGTCCTACGTATTATTTCCACCCACATTGATTCCCTTATCCGTACAATAGTAAACTGTACAAATTATATATATCTATACGTGTACATACATTTTTCCCTAAAATACATTTCCTACCGGCACTATTACCCAACTTGAGGCATCCGTCAGTAGCAGTGATAGTAAGATTGTCAAAAGTCACTTTCTCCGTGCGCGAACGTGCGCTTTATCGCCGGCGACCAGATGCGCATTGCAGCCAATAGCGCACGCAATGCGCGTAGACGGTTCGTCGCTATGGCAACACGGCAGAACGCAGTTCCGAGTTCTGTAGGTCAGTTACTGTTATACTCTTACTGTTATACTGTGTTACCGGTCGAACCCAGCTCTCGGTGCTAGCCAGTAATGCAGTCTGTCTGCGATCACGGACGTTTCTCTGTCCCAGGCCAGACGTGTAATTCCAGGCGAGAATGGGAAGTCGATCTATCCCGTCCATGCACGAACAAGAAACAGTATTGACGCCGCGATCGGACGGAACTTTTGAAAGACCCTGTAGCCCCTGTAAGAGTTCGATTTCGCGGACGTGCGACCTGTAGCGATATATTTTATTTAAAAAAAAAAAAAAAAAAAAAAAAAAAAAAATTGGTACCGAGCCATTTGATTCAACGCGCGCACGCTCGGCCATTAATAATAAGCACTCTCGGCAAGACGATTAATAACGCGAGAGATTCTTAATTGATTGTCCCGCACGCGCGACTAATTAAATACCCCTACACGTCGCCGAGTCGGCCGGCCAACGTGCCTGCCGCCCACGACGTCGCGACGGTTTCTCCTATTGTTTGTTTTTGTCATTGGAAAGAAAAAAAGAAGCTTTTTTCTTTTTCATCAGTAAAAATTTGACTTCCACGGACTCGCCTTGCGCAATCGACCATTGTGGGGTAAGAGGTCAGAACCGTGGGCTAGTATAACACACGTGAATTAGAATTTCTAATGGGATATAAACAATGGAAACGACGATTGGCAGCTTTTATAAACGCTCTCTAATCCCGGACGTGATTTTAGACAGCCGTACAGGCCCCTGTGTATACCGAGCGACCCAGTGGAAGAAAGATATGCTCAACCTCACTTTCGTTTCTCACGCGAGCCAAAACGGGCCCTACAATTTTTTACAACGCAATTATAAGCATTACAATATTATACCTATATACAGTTTACGAGTCTGATGTATAAAAATATGTTAAGTGAGAAAAAAAAGCAAAAGCAAAGAGGGGAGAAGAAGGAGAGGATATACATCGCGACACATAGCTCATGTGCAAGTGAACATTGGTATGCAAACGTGACAGGTCACGACAGTGAGTCCCGGTAAGAAAGCAGAAGCCGATTGAAGTCATGGTACGTGTATGTGGTGTGTACATACCTATATATATATATATATACTACAGTAAATATATAGTTGCCGGCATCGCTGTCACGTTTAAGATTCTTCAAGACCGCTTGAGAATTCCAAGGGCCTTATTAATGGATCCCATGGACCAGATACGGGGATTACGGATGCTGAGGTGATGGCGTGATTAACAATTTTTTATGAAATTATCGTAAAAAAAAAAAAAAAATTATGACAAGTATCAAAGAAATGATGTGTGTATACTGAATTGGTCCGTGGATAGATATAGTAAGATCGGCTGAATTCGGGCATAGGGCCCAAATGAGATTAAAAAGAAGCTAGACTCGGACCAGTTCGGTAAGGTGCTTCGTGGGTCTCTACTTCGTCTGGACCTACTGTTATCAGCTTGCTCCTTTTTTTTTGTTCCTCGACGGAACCGACCAACGGACAGACAGACCACTGGGGCCTAGGGTGTATAACCCTGTGCCACAAGAGGATGCTGATGGCCGCGTTGGACCCTGTAATTATAAAGGACCGGTTTCTATCGTGGCCCTATATAGCTACTCGCATACGTAGCTGTATAGTACGCCAGCTATACATAGGTTATATGGCTATAGGTAGGTAAGGCAGCTACGTTAAGTTCGTGCATAATTGTGTGGGACTTGCGTCGTCAAAAATATTACGGCCCTGCACGTGCACGGGGTTAAAGTGGCCGTGGATGATAGTGAAGGCAGTTAAAAGAGGGGTTCAGGTTGGTAGTGGCCTTATAGAGAGACTGGAGTATCGCACCAAGCATGTACCGTACGATGGAGCGAGGGTATAGGGCCCAAATATATCTACCGAGACTGGCAAGTAGATCATTCGAAGATAATTCGATGGGGAGTCAATTTTTCTCAAAAACATCTTGAGTGTTATCGATTTTCTTGAATTGGGTAAATTCAAAGATATTTTGTGGAAATCACGTAATCGAATGTCCCTGCGCCCTAAAAGCGTTGTATAGTGACGTTTCAGGGCTCGTGGCTTGTCTTGGATTTTATTGATAATCATTTTCTGACGACTGCATTTCCAATATGGCGGACTGCGGCGGCTCGCGGATAAATGGCGGTTTGCGTATCAAATTACGAGAAATGCTTGGACTCTTAGTCACTCGGGAATTCCTGTGTGCTCTCTCTCGGTGCATTGGTGCGCTGGGCGTTATGGGGAGAATCGGAGAGCGGAGAGAGAGGTGGGGGTCGAGTGAGAGAGCGGCGAGAAAAACCGAGATAAATCAATTAAATTGAGTAAAATTCCCCTGGGGAACAATGGATTTTTATTTTTATAACAGTATACACGTACCCTCTTCTACTGCTCGGCTGTATCAGTCGGTATTTCTTTGGGCAATTTGTAATCGTCACGCGTGTTAAATTCATACCGAGCGCAAATGCACTATTATTCAATTACATACGTGCATCGTGTGCAACAGTGCACACGCATTGTGCTTGTCGCTTCGGAAGATGACATATGCTTCTAATTAATCTCAAACGTCGACTAGGCTATTTTAATAATTGTATCGATCGAACCAGATTACCGAGCACTTTGTCTGCTAATTTAAATTTCGCCGGATAATTGACTCACGGTGTGACTGAATATCGATGGTGCATCAATTTATTGGTCGATATAGGGAATTATATTCCCTATATAATTCATATCGGTGTACCACGTTAATATATGAACTATCGTGCCTGATGATAATTTTCAAAAGAACAATTTTCTTTTCATCAGTTAATATCAGAAAAGTCAATAAAATTCATAAAAAAGTCAAACGTTAAAATTCAAACTCCTAAATTCTAAAAAATTTAAACGTCCTTCGTAGCCACGTCGTCCTTAAACCGTGAAGACGCTTCATCGCACCCGCGGTTTTCTGCATAGTCGAGGTACCGCAGAAAGTGATAACGGTAAACGTCGATCAGCCACGACATCGAGACGCCAGCGAAACATGTATCCAAACCCATGATCACGAATTCCCATTAATGGAATAAGTAAGTGAATAGAAAAAAATATTCAAACCAATACAAAAAATTACACCCCCATTGTCTCGCAAACCCCAAGCGTCCAAAAAAAAAATTAAACGCACTAAAAGCCCAACAAATAGACGACGAGCGTCGTCTTTCAGGTCGCTAGGCAACGTCATGCTTTCGATTCCATCCTCGTGGTTGGTACGACTGGCGCTTTTGTCTCTCGTGCTCGGATCAACGGAGCTTCAGTGAACAACCGACTTTCGCTCCTCGAGATTCAGACCCGTCAAAACAATAGGCAATTTCAGAAGAAACCTAAAAGTCCCATTTGAAAGGAAAAGCTGAAAAACTAAAATAATCCAAACACCTGAAATAACCCCTAAAAATCAATTTAACGACAATTATTCATATAAACAAAAATTTAGTAATTATTTTTAAAAAATACAATCTTCATGCTTATCATACCCAAGAGGCAACGATAATCGATCAATCGATCTGATATTAATCTCGATCCACCCAGAAGACCTATCCGCGTGCAATACCATACAGGTTGTACATATCGTACAGGTACAAGTGGCTACAGGGTAAGTCCAGGTCGAGTATCAGGATAGGACGATCCCGTTGGTAGTGACGCAGGATCGTTAAAGAGATTTAGGTGTACGGATAAGCATAACTCACCATAATTGCAGTGAAGTCTCACCGCCCAGGAGTAGAGGGAAGTGCATAGTCGGCCGCACCATCTGTAACGATAAAGGCGTCCTCTTTTATTTACATCCTTTATTCGAAACCTACTAGCAGGCACAGCATCCCACTATAACCCTTCCTCTCCCCTGCCCGCCACCCTACCTTCTCCTGCACCCTGCGTAATACCACCCCACCTCTTACCAGTACTGCTAGGTACGACTACTACTCTCCCCCCCCCTCCCGCTGCCCCTCGTCCTTTCAAGATTCAAACTTTTTTTCTCCTCCCTTTATTTATTTCTCTATCCAATATGGCAGCGCATGCATCATGTTACAAACGAGAGGCGTTCGCATGGCGCCACGTGTAATCCACTCTTCTTAACCATTCTACGCATCTTAATATCATAGCCATCGGACATCGGGCAATAATAAGTAAGGGCGTTACTCTTGGATAGGGGTCGGAGGGGGTGCCATTCTTCATTATTACGGCACTGTCATTTAAGCGCTATATCACACAGGTAATACATATATGTATAGGCGAGTAATGGATTTTGAATTTTTTTTTCTTCAAATTTTCGTTTTTACTAATGACGTTTGAAGATATATTTGTTGTCCTATCTACGTTCGTTAGATTAGGTCATGTCATAAAATTTGCCCAATCAGCTTTCAAGTCGGTTGCAATATTATCCTGCGTGAGGGGGATTCGTACTTGTTCAGGTGGGTTTATTTCGAGGTTGGTAATTTATGAGGATATGGTAATCTTATGGGAATATCAAGGGATGACGAATTTAACAGTATTAGTCGTACTGGCTAGTCGACTGATTATTTATGTAGGGGGTTGCGCGTTTGCTAAATGGAATTTCTGAATTTGACTGGCGGGTAGGTATACGCTGTCTGAGAGTTATGGATATTTAATGTATATTGCGTGGAGTATATATATACTATGTAATATATACATTATGTACTATATATAATATATATCATTACAGTACTGCTGGAAGGTCTCAGTTTTTGCGTGTAATTAGGAAAGGTGCGTAGAGATGATTATTTTGTGCACGTATGTCTCTGATGTCCCCAAGGGGTAGTTAAAGAGCCTCCATAAGGGTGGGTTAGAGCCATTGTAATTAACGACGAAACAATGACGAATAAAAAAAAAGTAACCAAAATCCGTAAAAAGAAAAAAAATTTCTTTCTCTTCGCTTCTCGCAGTCATATAAAGATATTCGAAAATAAAAATGACATTTTTCACAGCCACCCATTATTTCTCATACAAAGAACTATACTCCAAAAGTACATTTACCACCGTCTTGCTAGCTATAAAACGCACCCTCATTTTCCGAGCCTGTAATGGAAATAATCGAGTAAAAACCGTCCTACTCACATTCGTCCGGTTATCCACTTTCCCCAGTGGCAGGTAGCAGTGGGTTAGACATTACGTTAATCGACCATGCGAAAACTCAGAGGGGATTGTTTTTACCCTTTGCCGGAGTAAAAAAAAACTTTTGAAGATTCATACATCTGCCTCTTTTTTGTTCCACGCTCTCTTACTTTTTTCACCCAACTTTCGTCGCTCGTCTCGCTATATCATATCTTGTGCATTACTTTTACGTATGCGAACGCGCATGCGCGTAAACTGACACGTAGTCAAGAGACAATAGCGTTGCCATGACGAACCGCGCTCTATAAAAGACATCTGTATTTCAGAGGGCCGTAGGCGAGGGTGTGCGTTGGGGGTAGGAAGGAAACTTTGGAGGCCACGTGACAATTTTACTGTTATTGGAGGACCGTATAAACAAAGTGCAATTCCGTTTTATGAGAAACGCTTGAGGGGTGAAATGCCACTGAGAAATATTTTCCCACGAGAAGACAAGAGGAGGGTGGTACCGTAACCTCTGACCCGTCCGTCACACGATTCCAGAGGGACAATTGTCATTTTCATGATCTCGGTGGCTACAAGTGGAAGGAAAAGAAAAATTTTGAAAATTGAAAAAATACAAGAACCAAAGGACTCTGGTCGTAGCGTCCAGAAAAAAGATAAAAAAAAAGTATCTGTCTTGTACGAGTCAATTAGTCCCTGTTTGATCGTGGCAGTTTGCGATCAGAGCTTTGGGTGTGGCTCCTAATCAAGATAGGTCGTATGTCAATGGCAAGCTGCTAGGGAATTGTCCCACTGAAATTCCCTAGTGCTAATACCCGACGCTCCTTTCTTTACGTACCACGTAAGAACACTAAGAAAACAAGAGCAACGAAGAATTGTGCCAGCTGATAACAACGGATACAAGAAAGTGAAGGGGGAAAAAAAAAAGAAAGATGGCGTTATCATAAATTATAATATCGCAGTCAACGACACCGAGCATATATGGATATTTCCAGACATCGTGTCAGAAAATCATGATGGTTCGCAGTCTAGGGAATTTTTTTTTTTTAACAGACCACACGCGTGTCTCGTTCTCAGAATCATTTTGAACGATCGCGCACACGAGAGGAGCATCAGACAAAGAGAAAGAAAGAAAAAAGGATGAACAGAGCAAAACGACCCGTCAGCTTCTATTGGGCTGACTCAGACAGACTATTTATTTTGCCCTATTACTTTACCACAGCCCTTGCTTGCTCTTGTCTTTTCTTAAACATCCCCCATTATCCGATACCCATATGTGCTTTCGCTCCCTGTAAAACACGCCAACGCCCCTCTTTCGCTATTCCCCCCACGAATGCCCGAAGAAGGTCGCGTTTGGTCGGTAGTAAAAATTAAACGTTTTCTCGCAGTCCGTATAACTTGGCTTTACTGCGAGGACCAACATCTGCGAGAGAGAGAGAGAGAGAGATAATGATGACGACCAAAGCACAGACAGAGAGAAAAGGTATACCGGACAGTATAACTGCATACAAACGGAATTTACAACTGATAATGGTATCGGCAATTAGATGGGCAATCGTGATTCTACACGAGAGCCAAGTTAAAGGGGAGTTCACAGGATGAAAAAGAAAGAACTCGCGCGGCAAAACTTTAGTGAATTTAACGGGGTCGTAAAGGCAGAGTCAATAAGGTGTTTCGAGCGCAAAGGGGGTGTTACCTTTACGTATGAAACAGTCTTGTTTCCCGAGGGCTCGAGTGACGTCAGACACCACACCAGGCCTTATAGGTTAACGTGCAGTGAAAGACTTCGGTCCAAGTTGAGCCCAATGCACGCGAGCGAATTTTCACTTCTCTATGTCCTTTGTCTCTCTTTCTCCTCCCTTACCATCCATAACGTCCTCTCACTCGCTCTCGTTCTCCTAACCACAAACCAATATTCATTGTACAAAGTGCTACGTCACTTTTAATTCTCGAGTCGTGTACACTTAGATATTTAAAAAAATGCATTGCGTTTATATTCAAACACCCGGTACATTGACTTCTCGGGTTTCGCGCTACCAGGAATCCTGGACTGTAGGTATTATCGCCTAGCGGACTTCTCCTGTATCCGGTGTCGTGTTTGGAACGTACGACTCCACGACGACGGTGCATAATGAAGCGCGCGACAATGGACGCCGTTGCAGGGATGCGAGTGGACGTAAAAAAAAGTTTCAAGAAAAAAAAAATCATATCCATATATAAAGGTAAGTACCAAACAAGTAAACTAAACGTTCAACATAGCCACGGTTAATGTCGTCAAGACGATCGAGACGGTTCGCTATGTTTGGCGAAGCTAATAGAAAAAGACTTGACCTCCCGTACGAGGCATCTTCTGAAGAGAAGCTATACAGCCGGCATAACGGAGAAACAATGCGGAGTGACGTGACGTCATACGTATAGGTACGTGCGTCTATGTCAAGTATATGGTATATGCATATATGAATTTATGCATATATAAGGGAAGGGTTATACCCGTTACATCGAACTATACTTGCAGATTATTACGGAGTCATACGTCGAGATAGGCGGACTGCATAACAATGGCCTGGAGAGGATCGGGCGTGCCGCGGAGGATGGTTAATCACTGTCGGAAACTTCTTGCAAGGCCACCAACGCGCCACGCAGCCTAAATTGCACCAGGGAGCTCTGGGTATAATTATTGGTAACACTGTGAGAGCTTTCGGTAGTTTACGACAAAGGTCGGTCCGGTCGGTACTTATAAGATACGTATATTCGGTCGTCGTGAGTTCGGTACGAATAGGATATTAAAATTTTCGTGTGACGACGTAAGGGATAAAAAAATTCCCTAGAAGTCACTATATCGTGGAGCGTCTTAAATTATGATTATTCAAACATTTTTACACTACGTCATCAATGTTCCAGATGTGAAACTCTGAAACACCTGAGTATCCTTGGTCTCTCTCTCACTCACGTACCTATCGATCCTTTTCTCGAATCTCGACTAATTAGCTTATCTGTGAATCAATAAATTTCAAAAGTCACTAGGCGCGTGTGCCTCCCACGTGTATTTCTCTAATATTCTTTTTTTTTTTTTCTAACGGCTTATACAGCGCATAAGAAACGATACACGTCAGGAGATTACTTTCAATTTACCTAGAAACTCCTCGGCTCGTATTGACAGGACGAAATAGACTCGGTGGCAGGTCACTTGACATTTCCAAAGGACGAATATAAAGAGCACAGTCAGCGCTACGTGTTAAACTGAGGTCAGCAGGATTGGCGAGCCATTGCGGAGAAACGTTCTTTCGAAGAGCTTCCATTTTTTGTGACAATGGCTCTTTGCTTTAAAAAAATAAAAAAAAAAATAAAAAAAAAACAAATACCCAGCATAATTTTTTTTCGATAAAAATAATGCACCAGAGTTATTTTTCACAATCCTCGGATACTCGTAGCGCAAGTAATCTCCAAGTACGCGTACACGACGTAAAATAAGACAGGATTACCAAGAAGATACGCGATATAGCTATGTATGTAAAATGCGCAAGTATGAGCTTCTATTCTTCTGGAGTGTTTCCTGAAACGACCTATAGCGGCTACACTGGATTTTCTATACATAGGCCTCCACGCTGGCACGAGTGCCTGACAATGAGTACAAAATCGATGCTTAGCTGTTGGCGTGCACTTCGCCACTGACCTACTCTA